GACTAGTCTGAGAAATCGACCCTTAAATCAGAATTGAATAAAGTAATCAGTTAAAAGCAAAACAGAGAAGAAAAGTTATTTAAAATAATCCGCTCTTTAAAAAGAATCAATAATTTCATTGCATCAATGTGTTCTGTAATAAGCAAATGACAGATTTAAGAGAAATTTGTTATTTTTACTGCGTTGTTATAGTAGAAAAAAAAAGTACTATCTGTCTGGTCTTTTTCTTCCAAAGGATTGAAGCAGATCAAATTAGTTTACTTTCTAATGTTGATTCCGTTAAATTAGTTGCGGGAACATCATATATATATATATATTTTATTTGCAAAATTGCTTCATTATTATCGCATGATATCGGCACTTTTCTCAAATTGCACAGTAGATGGGTAATACATCAAATTCGTTGCAAAGTTTTATAGTAAACCAATTTTTAAATGAGTACCATTCAGTATTTCGTTGAGATGACTGAGATAAAAATATTCTTTCTGTGCTGCAATTTATCTTGATCATAAGCTAAGCAGATACAAACGACCTATACCTTTATCGCTAACAATATAGAATTTAAAAAACATTCTTTACAATTCGTAAATATTTTATTTCAGAAGACAATGAAGTGCGTCGTTTAATATGAAAACAATGTTTTTTAGCACTTAATCGCAAATAAGACGCATGGTAAAGTTCTTTTTATCGAGTAATCGAAAGAAGTACTATCAAAACTGAGCACATAATTTATTGAAGTTAAGAAATACAAATTGCCCTTGCCTTTACTTCAATTCAATTATAATCTTTATTCAATTCTTCAAAAACCAGAAGAATATCAGTAAACCAAGATCTATGTAACTTCAGGTTTTGTAATTTGTTCAACTTCTGAATATAAGCATAGGGAAGAAAACTAAACTGAAAAGTTTCCCTCTTTAACAAAATAGGAAGAGATCGAAATCTCTTTATGTAATGTAAGTAACCATGAAGTAACAAAAAATATTATTATCGATTTCAGAAATTAACAAGCTTCAACATGTTTACTACTGCTTTCACCATTGTTATGTTTCATGATTTTTTTGTTATACAATGACGAAATGAACTTCCGATAGCACATGTTATCCATTGTATAAATAAAAGTCGCTTATCACCAAAAAACACCATTATCATTTGCTACTTAATACTATAAATCGCCAAATGAAATAGAATGAAATCAGAAATGAAAAGATGACTTTGTTGACCAACGATGTAAAACTATGAATGATACAGTTGGAACGATAAATAGGCCACCGGTAAAACAACGCAAGCGTTAATCAAGGCGCTTTCTTTCCAAATCAATCATGGTTTCACTGATTTCTTCGCATGCCTGGGTTTAACAAATACAAAAAAATACGCTTTTCTGTTTCCTAATAATCATATTATAGCCGAGTAAACGATTACTCAATTGAATAACCGATACACAACAGATCTCTAAGCTTCACTTCCTAAACTCTCATATGCCAAACAGCCTCTTCTTTTTTAAACATATTACAGTAATATTGTTTAACTAAACTCGATTTCCATAATCTAAAATCTATTGAATAGAATTAATGAGAGCAATATGTAAAAAATTAACAAGTTTTTTAACCTTACATATAATTTTTTATCTTAGAATCTTAGATATATACATTAATGTATGGAAATGTACAACAGATTCCAAAAATCCTAATTAGAGCTTCAAAGCCATTTTATCTAATCACAATATTTAATTTGGATTACGTGCTACAGTTCTCGCAGATGAAATTTGGGAATTGTTGGCAGGAAAAAGATTTCAGTTAATTTCATTTGATGGACTGTCTGGGCTATAGGAAATGTTAGGAAAATATTATTTCAACTTTGTTGATACAGTAGTACTGAAAAGGAACGCAGACACCAACAGCAACGTATTGCTTGAGGAGAAATTTTTTCACTTATCAAAGCGATCCTTAATCGAAGTACCCTAAAATCTTATTTGGTAGATTTAGATTTGTTGTAACTTAGTCGTTATAATAATTATACAACAAGTTTGCCATGCTCTAAATCTTATTTTTACTATAATATTTATGGAAAGTTTCTAATTTAAATTGCGCCTTATAGTGGTCGGCAAACCTGTAAAAGAAGTCCATGAGTTTAATCAAATCATTCAGCATATTCGTGAAATATATTTAAAAATTTTTTCAAGTGATTTCTGTGCGGTCTTTCGGGTCAATTTCAATGAATATCTTAGAAGGAAACCAGTATTCAACGGTTAATACATCTATATCGACCAGTCTGATAACTGGTACTCACAATCACCATAAAAGAAGTTCCTCGGATATCACCATTTGGTGATCGCCACAGTGCTCAACTTCACTTGACAAGCTTAATCGGTCTGTTGAACACTTTAATCTATTTCATCACTATCACCAACATATAAATAAAAACTCAGGTTGTTTACCGTTTTACATCTTTTTAATAAAATTTATTGGAACACACACTAAGTAGCTTTTTATCAAATTTTATTGCAAAAGTGTTTCATTTGCAGAAAACAGTCTGAATTATGTTCCTCAAGATGTCAGTAACCTGGTACTTTATTTTAATGGTGTCATACGTACTGGTCAGAGGACAAAACAGAAAAGAAACCTTGGAAGGCTTTAAATGGTCACGATGGGGTTTGCTCATTGAAAAAATTTTTTTAAGCATATAAAAGACAAGACTTAGCAGTAAATTTCTTTTATTCCACGGAGAAAGTTGGAAAGAAACATATCCCTGCAAAGAAGTTTTGCTCTTACCCGGAAAATGCAAAAGTTTGCTAAACTGCTCCACTTTAGTGTTCAAAACAAATTAATAAAGGGATAAGGGGCTGTACCCATTACTCACTGTACCTAGCAAATAAAAATCATTGTTGTAACTAATGTCCACAATTGGATTGAACGAGGGACTTTATCGGGAGATCAAGCAAAAGGAATTCTGTTTTCTGCTTATCACTCTTTTCTAAATTACTAAAACTCCTGAGAGCATATTTGTTTCAGAAGAACGAACGATCGATTGCACAACACAAGAGAAAGAACCAGATCAATGCACGTTGATAGCAGAAAATGCCAAAATACCTCGAGATCCTACTAAATATAAGTGCCGCCGTGAGCAGATGCCAGTCAATAGCAGAAATATATTAGCACAGAATTCCACAAGACTAGCATGTCCTATTGGTTGTGAATCCGACAATAAGCTTTCTGTTACTTCTCAATTCTTTACTCACTTATTGTTTTGACATAACTTCCTCTTCCCCTACCGAACTAATTAATTAATTACTTCAATCCACTTTTCAATTTGTTGTTAAGGACATCACGCGCTAAGTATTACATATAACTCTTTGTCATTACTTCCTCTATCTTTTCTAATTACGCCAGCATCTTTTAATGTCTAATTTAAGCTTATTAATCTAGCAACTTCGTTCTAGCATGGAAGTTACATGAAACTTATTCCCTCCAAATGACAATGTGACAAATGTCTCATAAAAGAGTTCTGAGTGTGCAAGTTGCCAAATTTTAGCAGCAGCAAAAGCCGGATATAAACAGATTGATTGATAAGCGAATTTCTTACGGGTTTACATATTTTACAGGTTTTGGTTAAATCACCTCAGAATAATCATCTATGTCAAAAATACTATACATACGGAAAATATCGCGATGAGAAAGAAGGTGAATGGTACCTTTGGTTAACGGAACCATGTCGAGCAAATTTAACAACATGGTGTCGTTTCAAGGATATTCCACTTTTCGACCCAAAAATTCGACATTAGTGATCCATAAATGTGCCCCTTATATTGATGTCATTTGCATTCTGAATTAGTTTTCTCCAAAATTCTGATAACGGTAATTAGCAGTTGCTAGTAAGATAACGATTAATCTTTAATGAGTTAAACTGAATAATGTTGCCTTTATATTTATATGTTAATTCTCATTCCAATCTAGTATGAAAAAAGTATTGAAGAAATTCGGGGTATTCTTGTAAACCAGATCCAACATTAACGCAAAATGTACAATAGGGGATAATAATGATTATCATAATAATTTGACTGCTGAAATCGATTCCTTTGAGATTTCATCAATTTAGATGGTAAGGTAGTAACAGGATTGAAAAGTAGTGTGTTCCCTTTTCTAGTCTCTTTGGCCATGAATTTAGCCAGCTTTGCCAAGATTTGTGAACACTACTTATTATTAGCTTGCTTGAACATATAAAAATTTGATAGCAATTAACAATTAAAGAGGAAAGAAAACTTATTACTATACACTGGTCATAAGACTTCAAGTTCTGGTCTAAAGAATGAAATGAACACCTATAATACAAATAATAATGAATTAAGAGTTAATTCCATAACTATTTTGGGTTTGAGGACCAAGTAAAAAGATCCCAAAACTCCAAACATTTACATTCTTCCTTTATTTTTATACTTGTGCTCTTCCCTTATTCCTTTTCTATGGAAAAAATAGATACTTTGTCCCAGTAATTTATATCTAAGTGTCGAATAGTGCAATTCCACAAACCTGGAATTTTACACAAAAGAATCAACCAAACCACTTTACCACAGCAATAAAATTGATGGAATTACTGACGAGAACGAAGAAGTAATCCATTTGCAATAAAAAAATTAGTCATTGTAATCGACTTGAACTGAATGTTGATTGAAGCCTATTTAGAAATATATTTTTGGCATTTGAAGGAAGCATCGTTAGCAAATGAAGTGTTAATTTATATTCCGATTCAAAACTACTTTTAGCAGTCCCATCAATGCAAGTAGTTTCATGTAATCTGTTGACAATTTTACACTAAAATCAGACAACACGCCACATACACAGCATTTCTGAATCCATTATCCAGTGCTCCCTCAATGTACTGGTTAATATCCTGCCATCATTTTTATATCCATTTTCCACAAAAAAAAAGCTGAATTTTAAAATTCTCTTTTTTCTCCACACGCAAAAAAAAAATGGCAAAATAGCGATCATGTTTAAAAAAGATGCTCATGCAATCTCGTCCTGCTGATTGTTGTTTTGAACAATACAATCCTCGACTACCACATTTTTTTCTATTTCACCCTTCTTCCACTTTGTCCGCCGATTTTGAAACCAGATTTTTACCTAGACAAATAAAAGATTGGTCAATCACTACTAAATCTTTTTATTCGTTTCTTCCAAAACTTACTTTTTTTAAGAAGTGAAATAATTTTAAAAAGTTTCGTAACAATTGTCATGATAATGGTAACTGAACTGATACTGTCCAAGGAAAGTAAACTTCCCAAGTTAGTGATTTATAAAAATGAAAACGATCGTTAAAGTTCTGCAAAAGTGAAATTAATGATTCCATTTTCACAAACTGTTATCTTCGCAAAAGAAATGAATAAGACTGCAAAAATTATTACTAGCAGGAGTAAAGAATGAAAAAATATCTCTTGCATGATCAGTTAATTGAGGTTTTAAGATCATTTATGAATTATGAATGTCGTATGAGAGACTCTAATAATATTATAAATAAATCCTGTTTGCTGAACACATCTTTCCTAATAAAACTATCGTCTATTACCAGCAGTTGATAGTACTCTCGAAAAAGAATAAAAGTAATTGTTCCCGTCCTCCCATACTTCCATTACAAGTTTAGCAACAAGCAGAACACAACAAAAGAGTAATACCTGCGTTTCAGTAACATTGAGTAGCTTGGCGAGTTCACTTCGTTCACAAGATGACAAGTACTTCTTCTTCTCAAATTGTTTCTCAAGTTCAAAAATTTGTCGGCCAGTGAACGTTGTTCGCGCTTTTTTTTTTTGTAGTTTATTGAAAACAGTTTGAGTTCGGGACGACTCCAAATCTTTTCCGATGCATTTACACCTTTCTAGAAAATTAAGTTTTGGCAACAAAAGTTTGAAAGCATAAATATCGACAAATTAATGATTAGTCGAGGAGCTCACATAAATACCAAACTGTGACCCAGAGTCTGTGATTTCGTCGAAAACTTCAGTGAAGGGCAAAAATTGATATGAAATGGTCCACATCAAATCTGAAGCGAATGAATTTTAAAAAGTATAAAGTGGAAATAGCATGCCTTCAAAGTTCCCTTGTGTTACTGACGAACTGTTGGACAAGATATCCTGAATAGTATACGAGCTTACAGATTTTCGAGCCGGTGTTGGAATCAGAATAGGTGGGCATAGGAAAGCTTGTTGTAGCAAAGAAAGTAAGTAAGGAGATATGACCGGTAAAACAGGTGATAGTGATGATGAGGAAGATGACATGGATGAAGTGGGCTGAACCTCAGCCTAAGTCTGGCAAGATGCAAACTGACCAATGACTGGATTTGATATAATTCAGCTATGAGCCGCGATCGTAATGCTACTCATCAAGTGTCTTGGCCAGACCCACAGATCCATTTAATTACTTGCCATTCATGAAAGCGTCAGTAGAATTATAATTTGGGATGTATTTTACAGCTCATTCTCCAATAATATGAAATCACTTATCAATGGCTCAGAACACTCTTGGTCGAAGATGCCATTCAGCATCTCGAAACCAAGCTCCAGTGTATCAGGAAAAACCCATATATTCATCACAGCAGCTGATTAAATTATTCAAAAAAAGAGAAATAGGAGCGGAGCTTATTCTAAAACTTCATACAAAACATAATCTAACGATATAAATATAAGAAAATTTACTGAGCATGGGTCAAACAATTTGTGATGCCGAATTGAGCCACTCTGCTAATACACATCCCTTTCCAAGGACGGGATCACGAAAGTTTGGTGCAAATGCACATTTCTTGTACTCCAGATTCATCACATATACCGAAAGTTGTCCATAACACAGAGAGAAGAACTGGATTACACCTGAGATCTAAGAGATACAAAGAACCACAAAGACACAATGAACATCACCTTAATCTATCTAACGAATCCTCACTATCAGTACTCTTTGAATTGCATGCATGTGAGAAGACTGCTAAGTACACAAACAACGTACCTTTTGTCTCTCGCAATGTCAGCACTAATAAAATGAAAGAGTTGCAGCATAGATATCATAATACATTATCGGCTAACACTCTTACCATTTCATTGCATATCTGTGTTTAAAAATATTCAGATGTTAACAAGTTTGCCAACAAGTTCACTTTAGCAGTATATACTTGAATGCAATACGTGAGGGAAATAGTGAGACAGGAACGCTCTGGCAGAATTACAACCCAGAAATTACAAATCCATATACGGTAATATAAGTTTATATGTCGGTAAACGACATAATAAACAATAACAATCATAATGGAGTCTCTCCACATTTCTCCACAAGCAAAACAGCAATAAAACTGAATACAAGCAGATTACATAAAAGAGTTAATATTGAAAATGAGTCATAAGGCAATATGGTGGTATCTAAGTCTCCACAGATTGAAATGAAAAAAAAAAAAAAAGAAAATCGAAAGGGATCTTGCGAATTTCGCTACAATCCTGTATCTTATTTTCCTCTACAATAGTTCAGCAGCAAAACATACAAGATAATGCGCTCACCGAGATTACAACATCGTTGCGAATCCATGCTTCAACAACACCTCTATTAACAAAAGCTGTCCTACATTGCTAGAATATAAATGTAGGAACTGCAATGCAAACTTTTTGTAAAACTATAAGTTTGAAAAAGTGAAGCGAAAAACATTGCTGACGGCAGAGACTGAATAGATAAATGAAACTGAATGACTAGTAGCAGATATAAGAATACGATTACTTATGCAATGAATCACAAAACATGTTCAAAATTGGTTAAAGATTTATGCATCACATCACTTTGACTGTCGTCTTATGATCTACTTTAAAGGAAGTTCAAGAAGTCACGAATGATTACAACAGACGGTAAAGAAAACGTATTACATGTTGGAGACTAGCTTATATTTCTCCTTCAAACTCATTTGAGTGTCACGTCGAGGATCTTTCTTACGACTCACCAATCGACTGCGTGCCTCACCTGCACTCAATTTAAATATATCAGGTATTCCTGAAACCAAGAAGTCCTCAATACCGAAAAATGGACTGATAATGAACTTCTGTGCAAAAGCTCAGATTTTTTGCAATACAAAAATCATATGAACACAAAAATGCACATCAGCACATAAACACCCAAGTCAATCTTCTATCCTTACAAATGTTTTTTTAAATAAAGGGTAGTATGCTTCGGTTAGTGACATTGGAGACGATAGTCTCGATGTCAAATGCCGTTTCAGTTTAAGAGACACAAGACTGTGGGAATAGATGTCATTAAACACATCACCTCATAATTATAAGATATTCACAAACCACTTTTATCCATTTTGTCGTTTTTCCCGAACCTCTCGGCTTCATCTTGATGAGATAAATCTGCTTCCTGTTTTAATGGTGCTACCGATGCAGTGATTTTTGGTTTTGAATTCGGTGAAACATTTTTCTGAAGTGAATGAAGTACTTCTAGCTAACTCGTTTCTGCCAACTTTCATTGAGGAATTCCCCATGTTTACCTAGGATACTTCTTTAGGCAAAATAATCAACAACCTCTACATGAAAAAGACTCCATCCAGCTAAAAAAGGAAAAAAAAAAAAAAAAAAAAAAAAAAAAACGCTTCAACTATTTCTAAGATCTTTCAGGCCATTTCCAAGTCCTAATGCACACGTACAAAATATACATGGAAAGGAAACTTTTTAGATGAAAATCAAATTTGTGAGTGCTATCCATTCGGCGACTTGCAGTGTTCTCTAGTAAATTTATTCAAAGTAAAAAAAAGCTGTGATGTACTGAAGTTATAGAAAACACTGCACACCAAATGCCGGCTGTGAACGCCACAAGTGTTAGCATCGTTTTTTCATGAAGAGTAGCACAAGTTTTCATACGTACAGCATAGCCAGATTCAAAAGTAATAAAATTTCCACAGTCGTGAACAATACAATATTCCTTAATCAGTAAACAAAAATGTTTCTAGAATAATGAGGAAAGCCAAATACGAAAAACAGTCGATATTCACAGAGATTAGTACTGCAAATATCTTTAAAAAGCACCCATTGGCCGAATATTCTTCTATTAAGTAAACCAAGTCACATAAGACTAAGTCAGAAAAAAGAAAACCTTAAAAAATGAAAATATCAGTTCTTTTTTCTTAAAAATACAGTTTTTTGCATTTCTAAAGACAAAAAAGAGAACATATATGTTGTACGAATAAACTGTCATGGAGATGAATAAACACGTCTATAAACATACAGCTTCAGTTCATTTACATAATCAACACAGAGGGAATGCACAGTTATCTACAGAGTTATGAGATTCTTCAGAATATCCTACGTTTCGCACTTCTATAAAATACTGTACTGTTTGACAGTTCGATAACAATTTAATCGGTATTCATCTTCGCGCTGCATCTTATTACCACAAATCTCGATAATTTTTCACTTTTATAAACTACATTATTTCTTGAATGAAAAACAACAAAATAAAAGTAAACGAAAGATTTCAAATCAAAACACCATTTTCAGGATAGAGACAGTAGTACGAAAGCAAACCTCACCGTACAGCGGTTTCTTGTTAAAAGTTGTAATGTGCAATTGGTATATCAATATAAAGTAGTTCTAGAGATGAATGCAAAGCTTCCATAAACTGATTAAGTGCTTAATAGTATTCATCATTAATTACAGTAGGATTTTGAATGGACTTACATTGGAACTGATAGACTGCTCGCCAAACATCTTTACTTCGTTCGTTGGCTGAAACGCAGGGAAATTCTAACGGTTTGAAAAAATCGAAATATTCAATTTCACAAACACTATAAAATCTATGACAAACTCATATTATTATTGCTTATGAGCTGGAAAACAAATGGAAAAACAGGACTATACAAAATGGCATATATGTTGTTCTAGCTTACTTTCAATTTTGCGATAACATCCATAATATCATATCCTCAGTTTTACGAAGGAAATTAATTGTTAGAGAAAGTTCTCTAGTTTCATAAACGTGGACAAACAGTTATGCCGCCATTTGTATTTAACAAAATTTCATGAAACTGAACAAGATTAGTTAAACCATGAAAAACAAAGAGCAGAGCTTTGAAAAAAAAGGAAAAAAAGAACTAAAAGAAGTGAGGTTAACTATCTAATTCATTGTGGTTTTATAACACATTCGAGATGGCAACTTCCTCTTTATCACATAAAATTTTAGGAGTAAAAACTGCTAAATTTAGGGTGATGTGCACGGGTGACAGGGGATGGGAAAAGTGGTGAAAATAAAGATGGAGGATGTATTATGGGATTACGACGCCCGTAGATATTTTTGTTGTGCAAAAAACGCGCCAGATTTACAAGTTCTTTTTTATTACTCTTTCAACTATTAAATGGTTATTAAGCTAACAATGGTGTTAACACCGTGAATGCTTTAAAATGTCAGTTCCCTTTAAATGATTAATACTTTCAAAGATGGATGACCAAAAGCATTTTTTTAAGAACTTTTTTTCATAACTTTCCGTCGCAGTTTTAAAAATGGTCCTTCAAAAACAATCTCAGCATACATCAATAACACGACAGGTCAAAATTCGCTTTTTTTTTTTTTTTATGTTTTCTTTTACTAATATCCGTAAAAATTAATTAGTACTATCAAAGTGTAATTTAGTTATGAAACACAAAAACTTACTATAAGACATTTAATATAAGTAACTATTTAAGGAATGTAATAAAAACACTTTTAATCAAATTCAGTAACTTCTTATCTGAACTCGTCAGATATCTGAAAAGGATGATTTTAGCAAAAAAAAAAAAAAAAAAAAAAAAAAAAAAAAAAAGAAAGAAATGCATAGCAGGTTTGATATTTAAGCACTACGGTGTTTGACCAGATACGGTTGATAAACTGATTTATATAAAACAGAGAATGTCAGGTAAAACTGAAATGCTATATTAGGATATACGTCAAATGAGCTCATCTGTTTAACTTTTTTTCTTCCCAATCTATTCAGCAAAGGTCACAGGTTTCAAAAAAAAGCAGTAAACAGTACTATATCATATGATGGTGAATGGCTGGATGATCATAAATCATGATAGAAGCTGGTATCCAATCAACAGTAAAAGATGCAGAGAAGTGAAGTAAGAAAAAGGTGGTGAAATTACGTAAATTTTCGAAATGAATGGTAAAGCAACACTTGTAAGGAGGCCAACGTTAATAGTGACTGAAAATGCCATGGTAGGATAAAGATGAAATGCACTGAAAAATGTAAGAAAACTGCATAGAGTTACATATTTATTATTTTCTATAACGTGTAGGGAAGACATAGAAAGCATAGCATTTACTTCTTGGGAGGACACCGAGTCGACTTAGATGAACTGTGTTGACTAAACCATCCAAAATGCTAATATCATTTTTCATATTAAAAATATTACACATGAAATGGAACTAAACAGGAAACAGTATCTCGGGAAAATGATGTCTGATATTTTTTACAGTTTTGCTGCAGCCATACATTCGGTATGTGACATACAAAGTGTATGTAAAAGACAAGGTGCTTGTTTTGAATTGGATTGCAATCTTGCTCACAAGAGGTTAAAACATTTCGTCTTTCCTATTGGACTCAGCACTTTACACTTTTCAGTTGAAAAAACTTAGGTGCTCTGCACATATGTTCGAAAGAATTTCGAACTGATATAACAAAAATGGGACAACACAACAAAGTTAAGGAGGATATTAATGAGATACCACATTACACTTCATTACAACAAGAAAGATAATTCATTGGAAATATTCGGTCATAAAAAGACAGAACGAATCTAAAGACAAAAAACAGTAGGGATTAAAAACTGGTCAGTTTGCTTAATAAACATAAAATCAGGAAAGGGGAAAAGAAATAAAACCTGAGTCACAATAGAAATACTATTTGCAAAACAGAAACTACTTAAGCATTATGAAACGGATGCATCAAACAGGTCTGTGCAGTATTTTTGATAGTCCTTGTAAATATATGAAAGTAGAGAAAATGAGTATGCTGCCATACATTCATTCCATAAATATAGGATAAAAGTCCATTTGTAAAAAGGATGAATACAACGATGAAGCAGATCAGGGAATCACAGCTATTTTCAACATTACATTACTTGATAAGTAATGTAGTTTTACAGTTATGTAGTCAAGTAATATAGTTCTATGCCAGTTTTATATAGCATGTGAAATTTGTTTCGAAGAGAATTGCCAATAAAGCAATCATACCACAGATCTTTTGAATTGTTTTTAGTATAATTCGAGTAAAAAATAGCATACTCCGATAGGAAATTTCTTTCCCTCAGCAGTATCTATTTATCCAATGGAATCAGAAAAAATGAAAAAAGAACAAGGTTTACCTTCTCCTAATTTATTTTTCTCAGAGTTCCAGCCAAATTCGTGATTAAATTCGTGGTTGTTGTTTAATCTCATGAATTTTTTGAAAATATAGTTAAAGACACTATTACCAGATGTAAATTTTAAAAAGAGCTTACAGAAGAACCATTCTCGAAATTATACAAATCTACCCGACCAAATGAATACTCCATATGGTTTTCAGTGTACCACTGGTCAATTTCTTCTGATGCAACCAGCAGTTCGGTTCGCAATGGATTTTTCTTTATTAATGACACAACTTCCTACAAAGTAGCTTTTTGAACGAAAAGAACAATAGAAATTATAGTTCCCTAATGCGAGATGTAAATTCAGAATAAATTTTCTTAGGTTAACACATACTGAATTAAAATGAATGTGAATATCAAAAGCAAGAAATTTCGACCGTACAACGAACTAGCAAACCATTTAAATGTCAAAATAAATCATTGTAAATGTACACTGAACAGAAAATATTAACCATATAAATCAGAGCTTGTATAAATGCGTTAAAATTATATACCTTGTGAGCAGTGCTTGGATAAATAAGTTGACCATTAACACCCACAATTCTCTGTCCCATCTGTAAACCAGCCCTTTCACCGATACCATTTTTATCAACAGCTCCAACAAAATGGCCTCGATTCTTTTCGGCATGTAAATTAAATCCAAACTCTTCCGTCGGATCACGTTTTCTCTGCATCAGATCAAATATATACGATTTTTCACCAGATTACAAAGCATATGAGAAAAAACTGCAAGTAAATACCGGAATAATAAATATTATGTATCCAGACCTACCTTTATTTTACAATATTATCTGAACAACAATCACATCCATGTTAATACTAGAGTATTCTCATGAGATACCCCACTGAGATGGTTGAACTTCGATTACAATACCAGAAAGAATTAAAGCCATGAATGCTGTATGATTCAGCATTCCGAGTAAACTTAAGGTGTGCAAAAATTTGAAATTTTTTAAGAAGAAATTTCAGATGGAATAGACGGTGCAAACAGATTTTTGTACTGAAAGAAAATTCTCTTCAAGACCTTTTATATTTGAGGGTGTTTATGAATCGAAAAACAAGGACGCTTGAAGAACAATTTTTAACAACGATTTTTTGAATTTAATTTTATATTTGCAAAAATACGAACCAATCGGCATAGCCGTGGTTTCGGAACGTTCGTCATTGATGAAACACAAGAAGAAATGTAATGCTTTGGTTTATCCTCCTGAAAACAACAATATCTCGCATTCTATTTCTTTATAAAAAATTCTTTAAATATCAATGACGTAAATATTCACATACGAATTCATATCTCATAATCAGTTTCAAATAGCATTCTTCAAACAGTATTTTTCCAGAAGAAAAATGATAAAAGCCAACCAAAATTCATATAATTTGCTAAAAATAACTTCGAAAGATTGAAAATATTTTCCTAAAGAGGAACAATGAATCCAAAACGAGTATCCTGTGAATATTAAAAATATCAAATGCCCAGACAAACTGCTAATTTTACAAAACAACTAACAAAAAAATTAAAAATTTCTACACCAAGTAACTCTGCCAACAAATTAAATTTAAATATTTTCTTTATCAGTATGACTTGACACAAGATAAGAAAATAAATCGACAGGAAAAATATAATCCGCAACTAACAGTCCTTAACTTCTATTGAACTATCGCAAATAGTTACTTTTCGAACTTCAAGTCCAAAAGCACAACAAAACTTAAGACCCTTGTCCCACCATTAACTAAACCATCAAAATCAAAACGATGACTGCTAACTCCGAAAAATTGGAGATCCAATTTTTGTGCTTTCCATTTCTTCTAGAAATTGAAAACATTGCATTACAAGTGATAAGCTGAACATTTATGTGGAACTTCAACATCCACAACATATTAAATGATAATTATTCAAGTTGAAGGTTGTGAATACCCAGAGCACTACCATCTTCCAGGAGACATTAAAAAATTCGACCAGTTAACCACTAAAGTAACACATAAATTAATAACTGTTGACACAAATTTATGCAAAATTATTTAAACAGCCAATTCAATTTTCTATGTCTTCTAATCACTCATACTCAACTTTCACTTGGAACTGCTTGCCTAAATGACACATGCCTCCAGCCACCCACCGCTTATCTTCAGAAAATCCTAACTGATTATTGCATATAGAATCTTTACATGTGAATAGGTGAGTGGATTGCGCTCTTACTAGAGAAATTACCAGTCCCAATTGATTTCCTGATTTCATCCATGGTCAATATTGTAAGCACAATTCCAAGAAAGTCCAAGGAAGCCAAATGTTATTTTGATGTAAACGAGAATAAAAAGCCGAGAGAAACTTCAAGATTTGATTCGTAATACTCCGAATAAATTAGCATAGTTAGAAACAGTCATTATATCATTACTGGTCTGTTCATTTTTTTATTTGCTAAATCAAGGATGAAAGAACTGCTAAAGCTCTTAATCACCAATGATTATTATACAAAATAGTTTTATAAAAATTTAACTGTTTTTCTGGTCAATAAAACATTATCCGGAATAAAAAAAAAGTTATGTAAGAGAACTGATCCTTTTTAAGCAGTAGAATTACATCTGCTTTAGAAAAAAGCATTTGAAATCTTAATTAATAAATGGTGACAGTATCTGAAGAAGTCCTTCAATACAGCAAAAATATGTATGCCTCGATTACCTCTTTGTCTACTAACAGAAGACTTTTTTCCGATGATGCAACTGAATGTCAGAAAACATGCCTGTAAACCGAAGTATTCAGTCACATCTTTTCATTAATTCATATAATGTTAATAAGACAATTCAAATTAATGGTTAAGAAATTTATTCTATAATTTGCAACGCTAATTATGATAACAGGAAGAAAGTTTCCCGATGTTTATCAAGAAATAACAGTCTTAATTAAAATTTGGTAATTTAAAGTAAAAATTATTTTAGGGAACAAGAAATTTAAACCACTAATTCTTGAGATGTTAGTGATACTAAATTTCATCCCGGCATTCAAGATTTTCATAACTATTTTTATAAACAAAACGAAGTGAGAAAAGACCAAGATGAATAAAGATGGGTATTGAAGGACAGAGCTGGCTTTCCGTGCTATGCCAGGCCACGTCATTTTATTGGATCAGTATAAATGTTAGACACTCAACACACATACGAACTTAGCAAATCAGGAAGTCAAAATACTTGGAGAATTCATTCAGAAAAGTGAATTACTAAAAAAATTTTCAGTGTTACTTAACCCTTAACCATCAAAAGTACAGCATCTTTCAAACAGTCTTAGAATTCCAGAAAGTTGCGAAAGTTTTCAAAATCTTTTTTAAGAAAACCAAGCAATTTCTAAGCAAATGTCTATAACTTGTCAAACTATAAAAATCTAGAAAATAGCGCATCTTTATCCAGAAAATGCGTTATTCTTCTGTCTTCTTTAATAGCTTTCATTTCGAACAATCCTATCGAGAAAAAGATGATTCTGTGAAAAAAGGAAAAAGTAGTAAAAAGCTGTAAACGGAAAAATTGTAGAATATGAAATGAATAAACAATAAGAAAAAAATTGTAGTGAAATAAATGCAAGCAGCGCTTATTCTCTGTTAAAAATCCTCGACTTTTCCAAAACCTTACCTGAGAAAAGGGAATCAAACAAGTTCAGTGATCTAAATCCTCGCATATTTACAATGAGAATCAGACCGGCAGACATGCATACATATATGCATAGTATATACATATATACACACACGCACACATATGCATATTTGTATATACAAAGGCGGGGTGCAGACAAAGAAAGAGATGAAGTGACGTATGCAGGGGAAGCAGTATTGGGACATAATCGATAACACTACAGAGAGTGTGTGGAAAGATAGCGTTGGAAGAAAACCATGATCGAAGAGTTTCTCCATCGAATTTTCAATGAGAACAGTGACGAGTGACAAAGGTATGTCGTGTCGTCACTTCCATTAAAGTTTACTCATGTTCGGAAGGGACAAATGGTTGTGTTGCAGTATTTGGCGTAACTTGTGTGAATATCACTCCCTCACAATGATTTATGTTGTTAAAACATAGCATGTTAATATGATATATGATGTGAAGTTCATTGTCCCCATGCTCACTCCCATCTAGAGTCTGGATTTTGCTAATTATCAGTGCAAATGTTCACGGTCAATTCAACACATTATGATAGGGAAATGCAGAAACTCAACTTGAAAGAGTGATCACTAATAAATAAATGAACAGTTGAAAGCTTTCAGATAAACAGTTCATGATATGCAAATATTAGTTCAAGCTTGACCAGATAACTGGATAAGTGTGGCATTCATCCACTAATATTTTAATCACTTTTCTGCAACTCTTCAGGATCTATATAATCACTTCTCAAATACAGTTCAGATGAATATGGAGTCGAAAAATAAGAATAGGAAATCTTTAACAATTCTTTAACAGCCATTCGATGACACAATTTTTGCTAAGTGATAAGATGACCGCTGTCTAGAAGAGGATTATATGAAAAGACATAGGTGGGCAGCAAGGAGAGTAAGCGACAGTAAATGGGAAAAAAAGGAGAACACACAAAAGGAACCATTTCTACTCTTTAAAAATAGTTTCTTTAAAATTGTATCCTAGTGAAAAGACGATAAGATTTATTTGCTAACAGCGATACGTGCCATAGATCGCAAACTTGCAAAATGCCGAACACTTCTATTCGGGAGTGATAGAATTCTACGATGAAATGGCATAACATCATTATACGGCCAAAACAGATGCATAAACCGGAAAAGAAAAGCAAAAGAGGAGGACCTATCTTCGATTAGGACCAGTGCACTGCTGCTGAAGTTGTTAGTGACTTGTTATCGAGAGATAGCCCTGTTCCTTCTTACTAGAAAAATGAAAGGACACACTGTTCTGACTACGCTGAAACAGTCGTTAGTTCCTCTAATGGTAACCAATAAGTAGCAAATTGGAGATACCTAAGGCTATGAAGAAGGAGAAATAAAATATGCAGGTGCAGTCGCATATATCGATCTCCCCATAACATGTACATTAGATGCAGATACAGTCGATCCTCACCCTCATCCTGTTCTTCTTACAGACGTTTCTCTCCATGACAACTTGGCCATACCACTCAAGTCTTTCTTTAATTGAATTAAATGTTGGCACTACCGCTACTTATTATAATTGTCATCATGCTAACTACTAGAAAATAAAAAACAAGTTACTCAGACTAGTGCAGTAGGCTGAAATAAACGGAATGCTAAGTGTGGCATATTTCAGATTCTTCTAGTAACTATGAGTCAAGAAAAAGATTACTGAAACTGTCGGGGTTCACATATTATTGGACGTGAATTTCGCATTTGAAAATAATCATCTAAAAAAGGTCTAGTCATATGATTAGACTTTAATAATAGTTGATTTCGCTAGAGCCAATTCTAACTTTATTTGAAGGACAAAGTATTTTCATGCATAAATCATCAGTGATACAAAGACTGTCACGAACTTTCTAGACAATCAATGAATTGACAAGCAAGGATTCAAGGACGACTATTTGCTATTTCATTTCACCTTTCCATAGAGTACTTCTGCTTTCAATTTTTTAAAAAATTGGAAGGAGTGAACAATCGTTGTTATATATAGATAATGGAAATGCGAGAGCACAGAAAAGGAAGAAGGGAAGCATATAACAGACAAATTTGAAAAGTATGAAAAAGATAGCCCAAGCAGGCACTGTATTTGACAGCTGCACATTTTACTTCATTGAGCATTCGTTCTATCGAATCAATGGACAAATTGCAGTTAGGATACAAAAACAGTACTTATTTGAATGTGAAACTGAATAGCAATCTAATCTATATTCATAAGGCATGAACTTACCTTCTCATTCTTGGTTTGGCTTCGCGAAGAAAGATTTGTGAAGGGATTTAACCACGGTTGTTGCAAATTAATCTGTAGTTGAAAATACCAATGCGAGAAAGGCAGGTTTATTGTAAGAGACATAGCTTCACATTGGTGGTGCGGTTCTTAATACATTGTCTTCTCCGCAAGCAGTCCTAGTGTTTACTTGTTGAGTTAGTTTACCAATGGTTTACAGCATGGAACATACTCAATAATAATAAACAGTTATCAATTTGATGGTGAAACTGTAAGGACTGCAAGCACAAACATTCGCCACGAAACAATTAAAAAATACTAAGTTGAAAAACCAGCCCTTTTTGAGAGGAACACAGACAACATGAAGTAAGGGCAGTGTTCATGGAGGCATGCCTCTTACACGATTCCAAGTTTTCCCTGATATCAGAAAAAGCTGATGCTGCAGTGGACTCTCCTTGATTCTTTGAATTACCTATAAATAAATTTTCACTTCTGTTTCCTTTCTTGGAATATGTGATCTCTTTAAAGAAACTACTAGTGAACCAGCAACTCACCTATCTTATTCATTTTTCACGAATTATTGTCATGATTATCACTGTGTACTAGAAAAAACGTTTCTGAATAATTTGAAATATCTTCGTGTCCGACACTTTCGTTTTTCCTATTGATGAAAGGCAAAACACTGAAGTTAGAGTAGCACTGGGAATTACTCGCAAATCATAAACCATTTTCTTTATAAAAACTGAAAAAATGTTAGGTGAAGCAATTGAATCGATTTGAAGTTTTTTGTTGATGGCACGAATATCTTATGCTTAAAGGAAGAGTTAAACAAAGTAGATATTCCCGCAGAGCTGGACAACAATATCAGAAGAGAAGGAAGTGGACAATCAGGAAATGAAGTCACCGTGCTGAACATATTACTGAATAATTCTAACTCCGCATTCATAAATTGCCTCTGTTTCCCCATTTCCTTTTTTTCTTTCTTTCTCCCACACACAATCTTTTAACACCCATCGTACTAGGGCTCATTTCCTGAAAGTGTTCAAAATTTATGGTAATGATAGAAACAGTTTCATTCACAACAGTACAACAGAAAAATAATGCACCCTGCCCAGAACAGAAAAACGATTAGCAAAAATGCAAGACTTCTGCTATATTTTTGCAATACGCTAGCGGACGATTGTGGAACTTTTAAATTTGCCATCACGGTTAGTTAAAATAATAATATGATAGGATTATCACGGATAAGGAAAGCAAATGATAAACAGTCCTGAGAGAGGGATTAACCTGAATTATATGTATAGCATATTAAAAACAGTATCAAAAGAAAATGTCATTGGCATATTTGGCAAAGATTACCAAAACTTCATTCACAAATGACAAAGCTAACTAATCAAAGTCATTATGAAATAAAACTTCGTCCGCGTGAAGCAAATAGTTCTGCCGGAAACAATTCCACTGACATTAACCACTATACTTTTATATTATCAGTATTACTCGAGTTCAAAATGACATATAAGAACTCTTATTCTAAGAAACAAAGCAGTGGTGGTAGAATGTGGAGCATCTTAATTCCCTTATGCAACTGCCCGATATTCAGACAGAGTTTCCCATCTATGTAAGCTCTCTGCAATATTAGTACTATTAAGTGGATAGTGAATATTAAGAGTAAGGATGAAAAATACACCATTAAAGCTTGCTGTCATGAATAAAGTCAGTGTAAAAAGTATATGCTTTACACTATTTTCCCTTTCTGTCAACTGATTTTGTGGCATATTTTAAGTTGTGACAATCCTTATACTAAATTTTAAAAAATGAGAAATTGGAAAGAAAACAAGAATTAGCACCGTTCACGCAGAAACAATCTAGCATGATTAACGTTAAGCATATCAGATGAAAACCAGGAACTTGTGATACTCAGAGTAAAAAGTTCTCTGTCACTTATAACTCAGTTGTTTCTTTACACAACATGATTACTAAACATCTGTTTTTGTTGGTCATTGAAGACTGTCCGAATAACAATCCGAAGATGAAGGAACAAGTTACTGACTAGCAATGTTGACATATATCCTTAAGTCACAGTTAAAACACAAAAATAAAGAACACAAATGAAAGCTGAGACGATTTCTAGAAGCAGCGGCGTTATTACCAACAACAGTTTAAACGAAAAGCACCAAAAAAGTTGTTAGACCTTATTACAACAGAACAACAATCATTAGAAACATAAAAACGAGCAAAGAAAAAGGGTTCAGAGGTGCAAAGCAGACAAAAATCAATGAGCGATAACGACAGCACCAAACAAACTGGTTAAGAATATTTTCATCAATGGGAGCAGCATAGAGTGTAGTTGCTCCACATCGGACAAGTAGGAAAAGTTAAGATACTGAACGTAGCCGCAACAGATTCCGGACATTTACCCAAGCAACAGAAAATGCTTAAATAATAATTGGCACATAAAACTACCTTAATCCATTTCGAAAACACAGTGAATCCAAAAATATTATGACCCAGGATTAATCTCATTCCAAAGGAAAGTTACACAACCAGTCAACTTCGGAAAATATTTTGATATAAAAAGAAATGAAGTGTAGTGACATGCTCCCATCATGAAAACCTGATATAAAAGTGTTGCAACTACAAAAGTAGGCATATTCACGGAGTGATTAAAAGAATATAATTCTTTATTTAACATCCAGTTGTTTTTCTAAAGAAAGTGTAGATATTTGTTAAATGTAATCACTGTCCTTGCCAAAGCAAATTATAGTAATATCATCTTAACCATAAGATATCATCAACTCACTTCATCTACAACTACCATAATTACCATCTACATCTCTCACTTCTGATGGAGTATATTTCTGCAATTTATTTTCCTTAACAGTGTGATACTGTTAAAAAATTTTTAACTCCCAAAAAATGTTATCTCAATAACAATTAAGGTACGAAGTTCCTTACTGGGATTCAACGCATGCAACGTACTATGTGATCACAAGAAAGCGTGGCCATCGATTTAACGAGGGCAGTAAGCAAAAAATAAAAATCATTTACAACAACATGCTTGAAATCTGTGAGGTCTTTTAGTATGAAATAACGGTTAAGCGATCAAATTTTTTTATGATTAGTGAAATTTCTGACGAAAAAAGACAGCGAGCAATAATTTATAGGAACTATAAAAATAGCAAAACACTTCCCAATTCAAACATAAAAATAAACGCTGTTGCTGAGTTAAAAGTTCTAATATTCTTTCACCCAGTATAATTGAAAATAACTGTATTATGTGTATTTTCGAATGAGTTCAAAAAAAGAAAAAAATAATTTTGTAAACAATAGGTCAACAATATGGAGATGCCAGTACTTTCATGAATCACCCTGACAAAACATATCAACAAATTTTTGCCAAAAAATATATGAATTATAATTCATCCGTCGTGGAAATCTGACCATTTCGCTTGTGATTTCTTTCACTTTCCATTTTTGAATTCGACAAATCCTTTTGCGGGTTCTCAAAATTTTTCGTCGTAATATCGATTTCGAAGTTCTCTAAATTGCCACTGCTCTTCCTATTTTTGGCCCTTTCCTCATTAATCGCACTAGGTGCTGTAAAAAGCTATATTGGCAAATCATAAAAAAATATAAAGAAACTTATGAAAAAAACAAAAAATAGCAAGTATTTCCCATGAACAACTCATCTAATCTTGCATTTCTGCTGTTTTTAGCAGAAAGTGAATTTTATTTGTTGAAAATCAGATTTGACGAATTCACGTGCTGAATCGTATTCATGCAGGTAACAATCAAAAACAATTCTTAGTCAGTAATCTGTACTTCGCTTTACACATCAATTTATATAAAGATTAACAGAAAATGGGAGAAGCTTCCAGATGAAACGAGGATAAGACGTCTGGGATAATTTTTAAAACAGCTAGTAGATCAAAGCAAGGAATGTGGAATTTTAGAAAGTATGCTGTGATCAAAATAAAATTCAATGAACAAAGCCATGAGTGCACACAGAGCAGCGAATACAAATAAACTGAATGACCGCCGCCAAATGACCACTATTACTAATATACAAAGGCCTGTAATCGAAAACGAACGAAGTAACCTGTCTGGTCGTACCCACAATTTCCCAGGCGAAGCTGAAAAGCATTAGAGCAGTAAATGTTATAATAAAATGTACCAACACTTAAGAATACTGTCAACAAAATCTGATATTTTAGCATCACCGCATCACCATTCACATTAAGTACCCAACAATTCCATGGTAATTATTGCTAAACAGCTTTAAAATGCTGATATGAAAGCAGCTTTTACATTTAGAATACTAAAGGACTAAGCATATAAAACAAAACAGAGATCACCATAAAAATGTGAATATAACATTATACCGATTTTGATCAGCCTAATGTGCTGTAAAGTATTATGCCATAAAAAAAAAAAAAAAAAAAAAAAAAAAAAAAACGTCATGCTATTTACCTCAAGAAGAACATATAAGGACAAAACTGATAGTGTTTTCAAAAATTTTTTCCTACTGTTTTAACATTCCTAAAGGTTGGTTGTATATATTAGGGTAAAATTAAACCGGGAAACAGCAGCGTGTTCTCGCCTCTAGAATAAGACAAGACTTACAAGTAAGTGTCACAATATACATGAATTTAAATATTAAAAATTTTGCCACATATATTTGGCAAATACCAGAACATACTTGAAAACAATACCTATTTCAACAAAGCATAAAGTAAATTAAACCTGGAGGACACTTCTATAATATTTTTAAGCGAGAAAATTAAAAGAAAAAACAGAAGGTTTTTCTACAAAAAGAAAATCGAGACATACCTTTAACGTCAACTTCACAAATACCCTTAGAGCCTTTGACAAAGCCTTTCTCACATATACATTCGTATGAACCATCTGTATTACTGCACTTAACATGTTCACCAGTACACCGATTTTCATCAAGACACTCGTTGGCATCTGTAAAACCAAAAAAAAAATGAATAAACTTTAAAAATAACTGTTTAAGCGATAGTGAAAATATACTTTGCTCCATGTAAAGAAATCTGCAAAAACTATTCCACAATACGGTTAAAACTGGAACTTTTCGAACCTTCACATTCATTGCTATCATTCATGACCCACCCAACATGACACTCTTTACAATTTCCTGGCCCACCAGCAGAACAACCGCCTCTACACGATTTGTGACATTCTAGAAATGTCAAAGGCATTATAAATAATGAAAACCGTAAAAGATTTAGGTATTCCACTTCATAAGTGAAATCGTCATATTTTTCTAATTTCCAAGCATTAAAAAAATTGGCAAAAAATATTAAAAAGTAAAAACACTTCAAAATATTCATCATATCCATTTGTTTTAGTGCATGATGCACTGTGTAGAATTAAATTTACCCTTGCAAATGAAAGCAGAACTATTTCGCGTAGCGTAATAATTTGCATCACAGTTGCTACACATAAAGCCAACATAACCTATGTCACACCTGCACTTACCACTCCCTTCTCGAGAACCATCACCCTAAAACTTATTATCGTAAAAGTATCAATTTAATTTCTTTTACTAATTTTGGTTTCATTGGAAGAAACTTTTTTCAAAACTGACAGATTTTTAATGGAAACCTGACAAGATCCATGACCAGAGCAAACTGGAAGACCTTTATCAACACCAGGACAAGGTTTGCAATCTGCACCAAAATGTCCCGCATTGCAACATAACCGCAACTTTTCGTAACAAAACCACTTCAGGAAATCAGGATTGGAAAGTTGTTTATGGAAGTACCAGTTCTCAATGTTCTCTTCATGTTCTTCAACCAACTGCTGACACTGCAATATCGTTATAATTAATTTTGCCTTTGTAAAAACCTATAGCGTTTCAGATAAAACGACTTTTAATGAACGAATGCTGCTGGTAACCGTTCAGATACCTTGAATTCGATATCCTTGACATCTCTAAATGCATTCGAATCATCCAAATATTTCATTTTACATAGATACTCCATAATCTCTACCAATCTTACTTCACTAAAACGATAAAGATTATACAGCACTGTGAACTTTCAATAATTTTTTTGGTTAATTTCAAATATTTCAGTCCCAAATATCCCATAAAAACTCCTCTTTGAAAGCAAAGACAAAAGTTCACCTAAAAACTACCTTAGCTTTATGAGTACCAACTTTATCATTATCCTTATCCTTTATCATTAGCTTTATACAAGATTTTTTGAATTACAGTCCACATAAAGTTCTATATGAACTAGTCTTTCACACTCACAACTTACAATCAAACCTTAAACATATTTTTTTTTTTTTTGAAATTTTTTTTTTGAAAGAACAAATTTTAACCAAAATTAACTTTAACAGAAAGAGATTCTAAAAATATCAACAAACCTTTTGGCAAACTTTCCCAACTTTTTCTCCTCCCAATCAGTATTTCCACCAGCAAAGTGCTGATTTTCAGTTTTTTTCAGGCCCTACAAAATAAACTAGAAAAACTGGTGCAAAAATAGAATTTATACATACGTAGTATCTCTAAAATAAGTCATCCTTACATTACATATATGCACTCTTTACCAAACCAGAATCTATAACTGTGGATGTAAAAAAGATTTCCAAAGTTCCAGAACGAATCCTACATTGCCAAAATGTTAAATAACTTTAATAACTCTGTTTATCCTTAAGAAATAGTACCTGCCATTATAAAACAAACCGCTTTGAATGTTTCCACGACAAGCGAGCAGTATTTACATTTATCAGTGTATGCAGCGAATCCCAATGTGACCATGAAAATCAGCCAATAGATCATTGAGGAAGATAAGACACTTTGACTGTTGTACATCTTAGCATTACTGAAATGCAGTTAGTGATACAAAGAAGTGAGGACAATAGTACCACACTAAAACCACATGGACATATAGTGCTGACTGATAACGATTAGAATTACATGTTCTGACAATATGCAGGTAGTAGCCAATAGCAAAACGAAAGTATTTTGGTTGTAGAACGATAGAAAATAAAAAAAGTAGTGGAAATCAAACTGCGCTAGACGACGATGTAATTTGCGAAAAGGCATTCAAAGGTATTTAGATTGACTAAGTAGCAATGTAAATGCAGATATGGTAAACGAAGCCATCGTCCACACCTTTTGAGGTGTATTATATGCACACGGTGTTAAGGCTTTATTTATTTCCTTTGTACGTTTTTTCCTTAATCTTGAGGAAATCCTTTTCTTGCACCATGCCTTCGTTGCAGCAATAGTTGAACCAACGGATCCTTCTTTTTTAATCTATATGGGCTTTTAAATGAATCCAGTAGGATCCTGCGCTCTTGAATGACGCTAACAACTGAACTTCCCCTCCTTCCTCCACCCTCCCGTTCACATTGAGACTAAGTAGCGAAACACCTCTACTGTAGAAGATAAAGAAAGAGAGGCTGAAAAGCAGTAGGAATAGGACGGGGCGTGGAACATTCTAGAACAGGTTCGAGATATACACATTCTAAGACAGCAGAAAGGAGGGATGGCGTTCGGTCGCATAGCTCTGGCACATTCGTCTCCTGGAACTTATTGCTTTTGTCTGCAACTGTGTGTGCTGCTTTTTTGTAAGTGAGTGTGAATTTTGAACATGTAATTTGGTGAAGTGTACTATGCAGTTTGCAAGTGCTTTCAGCGTTGTGAGATAGCTGTAATATAAACAAACTTGTAGAGCTAATAAAGGAGCTGGTAATTAGCTATATTACCAAGAGTCTTTTATAAACTATTTGTTGCCACTTATATGTGGATGGAACAAAAGATCCTGAGGTTTTGCTGATATTTCGATCTTTTTTAATGGCATTACAATGACATTGTGATTGTCTTTACTTTGACTGATTTCTAAATGTAAGCAATGAAACAATAATGATACTGGAAAATATGCATCTCTCATAATTCATCGCAAGATCTAAGTTTTTGTAAATGGGACGTCTCTTTTTTGTTATTACTGTAAACAGATATCAGCAATATTAATTTAGTAATTTTATGCTCAGATTAGATTTCACTTTTGCTCTAATTATCCAAGAATAATAATACTTTTCTCATGAAAGCGTGTTCGATTTCTATTCTTAATACTATATACCAATTGATTTTGCATCTTTACTAAACTGTTGCTAAAAATGCAGTTGCTCATTTTTATCCTAACAAATTAAACGGTATTGGTTGTGATCCATATTTGACAAATATCCAAAACTAATTATGCCATCCAGTTAATATGCTGATCCTGATAAAATGCAGTCAATCCCGAGTTACATGGGATTCAAGGGCAGATTCACAGTATGATAGATAGCTTTTCAAAGTTTGAAGTACTTGGAATTTTAGTTTAGACTTTGAGAATAAGATACATCAATGAAACACATTTAAACTCATCCATTTTATTTAATGTCATCTGTTTGTACTATTTGCATCGTTTCAGGTTGAGCAGTTGATTAAGTGCTCTCTCAGTTAATATTGCATGCTACCTGTCAAATGGTTAAAGAACAGACTCATTCGTCGCAAATTATTTTTTTTTTTTTTTCTGATAAGCATTCTAAGAGTATTGCACTCAATCACGCGTATTTGGGCTGTTAAGTAAAGGTGACAATTTGATGGGTAAGTTATTACTGGACTGGTCAGGATTTTGCGTTATTCCTTGCCATATGGTTGGGCAGATTTGGAATGTTGCAGTAACTACTGCAATATGTTTCGCTTATAATTTAACTTGTATTAATTCTCTGCACTACTGCTACTATCGGTATCAAGTGCAGTCAGGATTTCTTTTTTTTCAATAGGCAAACTTTTCATTTTGTTGCTGTGAAAATATGCCGTGAGAGATTGTTAGACAAACCGTTCCTTTTATACCTGATTCAGAGTTTCTACTATCCGTTTACCACTCGAAAACGTCTTGCTTACTTTTTTCTCTGACTGCCTGCTCTTATATTTTTCATATGTAAGCTTCATTATTATTTTATTTGAATGCCATTTAAAGATTTTGCGAATGCAGTTAGTTTTTTTCTGTTATCAGGTGTTGCCTTCTGGTCGGGGCGGTACTGTGATTCGGTCAAACCTGTCTTACCAGAAATCTTAACTTCGCTGCGTGAGGTGAAAATGTTTGTTTTCCTAACATCTAAAGTAACAATGTGGAATATCGAATGCTTCACTTTTTTATGGAATTTTCTCGTCTTTTTGATGTAGGAGGATTTAATATGAACACTTCGAGACTTTTTTCAAATCGCCATTGCTTCCACTTTGTACTTTGACTGCAGATTTTCTATCTGGGCGCCAGAGAATGGCATAGGAGAATCTGACGAGTTAAATGAATCTTTCAAGGATTAAATTATATTCTGGTTTTCATTTAACTGATGAAACAGTCATTGCATTTTATTCTGATGGCTTTCGCGATAAAGTGGAATAATATTATTCCGTCCAATGTGCTAATCTTATTGCCGTATCATCGTACGATGATCAGTGTATTTATCCATATCTTTACATTATGGGTTTCGTTTAAGTTAAGTGAAGTCTAGAATATGTAATTCACAGCCATTATACCACTAACTTTCGGCTTAGCAACTTAGTGAGTAATGTGAGTGTTTGAAACATCGCAAGAAATGTTGCATGCTTCTTCTTTTCTCTAGTTTCATTTTTTTTTTTTTTTTGAGAATTGGTGAGAAAAGACTATAGCCTAATATGTTCGACACTTATTTCTACGAAACTTCATTATTTGAATAATGATAGTCCAATTCCTTTTTCATTGCTTTAACCAAGTGCTGCACAGTCTTTGATTTGCTAGTTTATACTGGTTCGTCTTTGGTCCTCTCGAGGTAATAAAAGAAAAATTTCATACAGGAGATGCATACAGGTCATCTGCTTTCGGGTTGAGTGTCTTAAAGCTTGATGTTCGAAACACTTCAGCATTCGAGCGAAACATCATGGACTACTAATGATTTATATGTTGATATTATGGAAATTAAGGCTCAGTAGAACATTGCGAATTTCGTATATGTGAATGAAGGAAGAAAAAATCAGCGTTGGCATTATGGATGAAGTAGGGGAAGATTACAAAGGAGTGCGTAAATAAATGTGGATGTGTATACTAAAGTGGAGGGGTCGTGAGAACTGAGAACTGACTATTATAATCACAAAGCATCAGTGAAATTACTGTTTTGAGATTTGTCTTTTTTATATTCATGATTTTCTTGAATTTTATCGTTGCAAAACACAAAAATATTTATCAGTGCAGTATATGAATTGGATTTTGTTAAGATTCGTATACAAGGCAGTATATTGTTCCTTATTCATTATCATATTTTCTTAATAGCCGACGATTCCTTTCAGTTCCTCGGCATTTCTTAAAAACTGCAGGCTGAACATAATCGTGTGGGCAGTTCTGTTCTTGGTGAGACTAAGAAAAATATGTAGTTTTGGGAAAAGAGAAAAGACTGCAAAAAACTTTCCAGATGGAAGCAGATAAATACTACTATATATTCATCCTTTATGAAACGAATGGTGTTATTTTTAATGTATGAAAGCTGAAGGTTTTTAGACATACCTTAACATTATTGTGAATCAACCAAATCTTCTTTGCCAGTAGATGCCCAGGATTCTTTAACTTAAAACAATACAGTATTATTCACTGAAATAAAGAAATTATAAGCCTCATAAATGGATAAAAGAAATTTTGTTACACAAACTGAAAAATGAAAACGGAATCCGTAAAGAAAGCAGACACTGAGAAAATTTTATTCATGTCTTTTCAGAGTCACCTTTTTGCTACCGTTCTTGGTTAGAACTTCAGATGTTTTTAAACAGAACACTAAGAATAAAATCCATACACTCTGCCATGGATAAAAGAAATTGTGATACATCTGTGATCATTTATTGGATACGATGATCAATTTTCCATTACTTAAGTATGAAGCAGCTAGTTTGTGACTGGTAGAATTCATTTAGATTTTTTGAATGAGCCTATACTATTACTTTCAAAAATATTTGTGAAAAGTTGGTGAAAGCTATGAAAAATTGACGGGATTCTTATTTCCATTTTTGCAATCACAGTCATTCTTTGTTGTTTGCCTTCTGTCCAATTTATTGATAATCTCTTATTTGAATGGGAACTACAGAATTCGTAACTATTTGAGAGTGTTCGTGCAGCTGCTTTATAGAATCTGTTACAAACATTGCTCCTGGATGCTAAATTGGTAAAAGAGGGAAGAGTAGAAGAAAAGGCTAGTTTTGTCACAAATAAAATAACAGTGTACATCTACATAATGTGCTTTTAAATGCTTTTTAAAATGTGTTTCTAAAAGAAATATTTTATATGATTTTGACACAGTTTTAGTATCAGTAGTATCAAGCTTCATTAATGTATCACTTTTATAACATCGTTGGTGTTAATTTTTACATTGTCTTATCTGTTAGTATAAAGCATGCAGACTTGGTTTACTCCATACAGCTCGGGCTATTTATCATTTTGCAAAAAAGTGTTGTGACATGGTTGACTTTTAGCGTTTGCAGTAATAGTAATAACTCTTTTGTTTAAATGTATATGTGAAGTGAAATTAGTTTTTATTGTGAAGTGAAATTGAATAAGGTTACCCGTTCTTTTTTTATAGATTGACTATGAGAAATGCGTAAATAAGTTTATCAATAATAAAGAATGCTGTGGAAGAGTGTCTTATCCACTATTTACTGGTTCTTAATCTGTTAAACAGCTTACGTAAGGCAGGGTTGTTTTCAAAAAAGTGCTTTTGTTATTCCGACATTTTTGGTCTCTATATGTCCTCTAGAAACTTCTATTTTTTCAGCTAGTTGCTTTGTATAAAATATTATTCATGTTTTTGTCATCGAGTTGAAGATAATGCTATGGTGGCAGTTAATGTATCCAGTGTTTTTTTCTTAAAATTACTGATTTTAAGAAAAAAAGAAAACAGCTTTACTAAATTTCTTCGTCTTTTCAGAGGAAACATCAGTTGTTTTTTACCGGATTAACTTCACTGTATAATTCCGAGTGGATTTAGTGTATCTGCTGAGTGAAATGATTTTTTATTCACACCACAAACATATTGTCACACACCAAATTTGAATCTGAACATTCCTATATTTAATTTCTTACTAGTCATTCTTTCGTTGACACAAAAGAAATTACGTGATTTTTTTGTTTTCTTCGTGACCTGTTACCATTCGGAGAACTGTAAATAGAGTCCAGAGTGAGGGATTAATAGTTAAATATATTAAATGTGATCCTCAGATTTCAAGTAAGGTGTTTAAGTCGACATTGCTGGTGTGCATTAAAAACATTCAGTTAAAAACGTCACTTCTGATCAAGCTTTCAATCACATTTTAGCATGAAACATATCTCCTACATCTGGGATTTTTACCAGTCATCTTATCAGTATAGCAGTTTATGCAAAATTGAACAATTTGTCACCTTTTTTTAATTATTTTTTTTTACACTCACAAGGAAATAGCATCATTGCTCTTTCTTTGAAATTTAATTTTCGATTCCCGATGTTATCTTCACATTATCTTCTGTTTCATCACTTTTTTTTTATCAGGACCATCTTTTTTTGTATTTAGCTAACAGTTTAGGCGATGTGACTACCATTAAAGTCTAAGCCTCAAACGGAATGAATCTTGAGGAACTGTAACTCTAAGCTACAAACAGCTTAATATTTCGAAATTTAATTTTTTATATTTATAACATTAAAAAAACGCCAAATTCTTTTCAGATATTTTGACTTTCCCTGTCTTTGTCTTGTTTAATTCCTCTAAATCGTTAGTTATCCATTCTCTTCCTCACTGGTCGAAGTTAAAATGGTTCTTGAAGTGTCTTTTGCCGAAAGAATTTCTTATTGAATATTCCCTTGAATTTTAATAGCTTTTTTCCTTGAGTATAAAGCCAATAATATTCAAGTTTGATTTATGTTGAAAAAATACGTAACTATTACCACTTACGTTCGAATTAGAACTACTGATGCAATCCTAATGTCTCTGTAGCTATTATCACGAAATATCATGGTATAATTTATCTGGATTATTAGTATATTTTGACGTTTCGTTTCATAAACTGTTTTCATTTTGCTTGAATATGTCGTTTAGATATTCTACTGGAACTATAACGAATGGTGCAGGGTCTTATGAAATGGTATTCTCAGTAGCTTGTATAGGTACCAATTTAAAAGGACAAAAAACAGACACGAAATCAAAAGATTCTTTAAAAAATCAAGACGATACAATAGTACGAACTCGCCAGACGTCACACCACTTAAATTTTTTTTGCCGTGGACATCTGAAATGTGACAATGAGAAATGGAATTTGCTGATATCAAAAATGAATAATCCTATAATGTTACCATCATAAAATTCTCTCTGGGTTTCTATCATCCATCTAGAACTTTTCCAACTTACTGGTTATTGCAGCAGTCAACAATTGTCACCTTTAATCCAGAAGATATTTTTTTAGTAGCTTTTGTCAAAAGTTCATATTGTAAATATCACATGTTTGTCTTGGATAGACCTGCAGTAATAAAGAGTTGGAATTTTTTAAAACCTGCAAATCATTCAGATTTAATTAGGAAAATGCTGTGTATCATTTTGAAAGCACCTAGGAGTGTGGGAGATTTAATAACCCAAATTAATCCTTTTGACAATTAGTGAGCTAAGGAAACAGCATAAACAGCCAGTCAACTATTATTTTGACCTGCAGACAAATCTGCTGGAAAGCTAAATTTTATTTATAGGCTGGCTTTCAGTGGTGTTGTTGCTGCAGAACAGGTATTAACATCATTAAATTAGCTTAAATGTTGCAAAGTCTAGACAGAGTTTCTTGCGATATCAGAAAAGTACGAGTAAGTTTGTGATTTTGCTTTCAAATTTCCTTTATATTTCTAACTGGTATGAAAGTTAGTGAATTTCATAAAATTAGTGGAACTGCGGAAAAGGCGATGTCATTCGAGTTATCACATTTATTGGCTACTTATTTACTGCCAGTTTGGTAGACTTAAAAATGTGCAACTTGCTGTTTGTATGTCTCGTTTGCACTAAGAGTTTACTCTCTTCTTATTTCTAGTGATTCTCTGGCATGTAATTATGGAGTTATAATTTATTTTGTTTTTACTTAGAAGTTATGAACTGTCTGGGAATTTGAAAGTCGGTCGTATATGAAAGTCGTTTGTGCTGTCGTCCAATTAGAGATTTGGAAGAAATACCAAGAAAATTTTATCCAAGGGGAACTGAATTTGAACGAACTGCTTCCTCGAAGTATTGTTTTTATGATAAAATATTTTCTGTTTTCAATTTTTATAATCTTGAAATATTGCTATTAATGACTAGGAAAAAAATTCTTCATTGAATATGAAAGCTTGCAAATAGATTTATCAGTTTAAGTTTCGTTGTTTGTTTACTGTTGATATTTGCTGATCAGTTTATCCTTATTATCTAGGTTTTGTCCTTTTGCCAATGATAGTTGAAGAAAATTGTCCAAAGCATCTTTGTAGTGGTTTTCAAAGAAATAACTTTTAAAGTGGTGAGTTTAGTCCTAATCTGTGCTGCGCTGAAGAATAAAGTAGTGATACAGATGAACTGCAAAAATTTTTCAAGGTCCTCACAGTAACAAGGACTAAAATCGAAGTTTATTCATGAATTACTTGCAAAGAATATAGTTTGAACACATGCTTCATTCAAGCCTGTTTCCTTGTACGATTAAGTTCGTCCATTTCATTCTTGATGCTGTTCACCATATTAGCAGTTCATTTAAAATAATAGCTTTCATCGATAGGGCTAAAAATAATGGTGATATCATCTAGAAAAAGTATTTGATTAATTTCCTGTTTCAGTCGAAATGCTTAAACCTCTAATTTCATAAGTCTTTGCTAACAGTAATATAGTTTTACAACAGAAATCAATTTCATTTTTTTTTCTCTTCTCTTATGTTTTCTCATTCTTCTTTTCATCACTTAGCATTTGTCCGAACCAGTCCTTCCTCTTCGTTTCCCTATTTTATTGTATGGTTTATAGTCTTCTAACACAGTGGTATTTTTTTATAAGTTTCACTGAAAATTTTTTTCTAATTTTTTTCTAACATGGCCAACCATTCGTTTCCTTTATTAATGCCGGTCAAAAAATTCCATTTCATAAGTAATATTAGGATTACCTATACATCTGTTACAATTTCTGCTTTGAACTTCATTTCCTAAAAATCCAGGGACTATCAGTTCCATCCAGAAACAGTTTAAGCATGTATGATTCATGACTTCGAACTAATGCAAAGATTACTGCTTTGCTCATTTTTCTCAGTAGATTTGCACTCTTAGAGCTGGTTGTATCCGTATTAAATTGTGGACCGTACAACTTAACTGCTGCTCATTTTTCTTCACGAAAGAAATGTTCAGTATTCTATTACGATTTCTTTTTTGATTAGACTTGTTCCGAAAAGCATTTTTTTTAATGAATTGTCTTATCACGCGGCAAAATTTCCTGCTCATTAACGTAATTTTTGAATAAGCAAGCGATATCGCTTTAAAGCTAATCGAACTTATATTTTAAGTAAAAAATATAAGTTCAGTGGTTGTATGATGGACGAAGCAAGAAATATGGCATTGCTTTTTTTCATGGACCATTTAATGCAAAAGAATGGTAGGCGCACAATCCATGATCTCAGCTGCCAGTTCGGTGCGCGTGGTTTCACGGCAGAAATGCGCAATGCAGTTGGTACCACACAGGAAGGCCTCACCGATTTTCTCTGTCAGCATCCCTCGCTGTTTACCGTTGAAGGCGATCAGGTAAATCACCAATCAGTTTAGTGCAATGTGCTAATCTGTTTTGTTGACTAGACAGTTTTTAATGACTTATCGAACTTCAATGTCATAATACTACTTTCGTCTAAAGTAATGAGGCAAGTTCTGGATAGGCTGTAGATTAAAAGCTTTTCAGTACTGATTAGTTGAATTAACGAATGTTTTTTTTTTTCGATAATGGCTTCATTTAATCCATATTTATGACTTAATACTTTTTGCTGGTCTCCGATCGATTAATTTCAACTTTTTAAAAAATTTCATGGATTTTTTATTACCCAGCTATAAATGAAAATGAGCGTTTAGGATTTTTCGTGCCTAATAGTTCCGTCAGTTCTTTTGTTCGTGATTTTTCCAGTTTGATTGCAGTTTTGCTCTACATATTTGGTTTTAAAAAGTGTGACGCTTTTAGGTTTGTTTAAATGGATTTGGCGATATGACAGTAAAGAATAACCCCTTATTGCAAGCGACTGCAAATGCTAGGAATCGTGATTATGTGAAGGAAGCGGTGCAATTTTTTGAAGCAAAACTACAGAAGTTCGGGCCGGAGTTGCAGGAATGTCTTGTTTACTACACGATTTTTTTCACAAATGCAAAAGCTTTGTTGCTAACAACGAGTCATTTTTACTTTCAGCCTTTGATAAAAATAGTTCAGGTCACAGAAATTGCATTCATGTTTTTATTCGCTGCTATTCAGATATGTGTTCACAAGTGATGCACTTGTAGATTAAAAGTTTGCTCGGTCATCGTTCGCAAGCAGCACCTGAAGTACGTTTGGTATCGGGTAGGCATTTGAAGGATTTTTGCGAATTTCTTCAGTCACAGAGTGATCATTTTGTGGTTGAAGGAGATCGTGTTCGGCTGAAAAATATGCCGGAACCTAGTAATGCTGGTGTTGAACTGGATGATGAAGGAAAACCCTTAGCTGGTGTTAAAGCCAAACAAGCAGCTGTTGAATATCTTAGATCCGTTGTGGAACAGGTTTTTTCACGTATAACTTTCAAAGGTTTTTAAATATTTTAATGCATAATATGGATTTTTCAGTTCATTACTGCATATCCGTATATGGCAGTGATGGACGGCTCATTTTATATCCATGGAATTCTCGATTTATAGAATGATGAACAGCCGATACCGATGGATGCTTTCTATCAGAAGTTTTGTGATCGTTTTTCCCATACAGTTAGGCAAGAAGTGGCAACCAATCCAAAGGAATTATTGCAGTTTTTGAAGCTTAACCGCAATGTGTTTTTTATACGATCTAATAAGGTTGTTTTTGAACGACAATTTCTCTTTATTTTAATTGCCGTTGAGCTAAAAAGTGAAAAAACTTCCTTTTTACTTGCAGTTTGCTGAATTAGTGTTTTAACTTTTTAATGTTTAGCAAAATTGAGTTCTTGATCTAAATTTTGTTCCTTATTAGGTTTCGCTTGTGAAAAATCGAGCTTCAGAAGATGGTTCTGAAAGTGGCTCCACTGAGAGTTCAGAACTTGAAAATAATAATAGCCATCTAAATTATAATGCTGCCGATCGAATTAAGCTTGTGAAAGCTCTGAAACCTGCGCAGGTACCAAGTCTTTATTACTCCTTTAACTTTTTTTATCTGGTGAAACTAATCACTAAACTTATAAGTTATTGTTATTGAATATTCAGATTTTATAGCTTCTTGGGAAGATTTTTTAGGAATCAGTTTCATTGGTAAATGCTGAAATTGATAGTATGGAAGAACGAGTTATTGGTGTTGATTTCAAAACTGTTACTCTTGGTGTACAAGGAGAAGAGTTTCTATCTCTGGTCGTATTGGCAACGACTATGCAAATCGTTGTTTTCGATGTTGTTCATAGCGACACCATATTATTGGAAAGTGGTGTTAAGGAAATTTTAGAATCTGAAACAATTATTAAGGTATATTTTATTACAACTTTTCCATAGGGATTTTTTAATCTTTGGTTGCTTATTTTTCAGGAATTTGTCTTAATTTTGATGTCTTAATTTTGAATTTATGATGTAGCAGTGGTATAGAATCATCGACAGAAATCATCCTAATGTTGTCCCAAAGGTTTTAATCAAGCATGGAAGATACTGTTTTGCTATTTCATGTTGATCTACGAAATCCAAATAGTCTTTTTTATCAATCACCTATCGGTGGATTGTACTTGACTGTTAACTTCATAAGTAACAAGATCAATGCGCATCTTTTTTCAACGTATGGTCATACAATCATTAAGAGACTGTACGTGTGTCCTGATTGTGCGATTGCTCTTGAGTTAAACATAGGTATAAATTCTATATAAATTTTTCTGATATGTTTAACTTCCTAGGTAATTCATGATGCTAAGAGAGTGGCCACTTTACTTGCTCATCGTTATGCCATCAATCTCAGAAAAATCTTCGATACTCAAGTAAGCTTGTATTTTTACATATCTCAGTAGAAAATAGTTCCACTTAGGGACAATTCACATGAGCTGTTTTTTTTTTTTTTTTTATTAGTTGATTGCGAAAACTCGATGTCTTTGTGTTCGAATTTTTTCATGACAGGTAGCCCATGCGATATTGCAATATGAGAAGTTTGGTAAGGCCGTTAGTGATATGTGCACAATGTCTTTCGTAAATCTTCGAAGGGTTTATTACCCGCAGTCAATTATGATGTCAGATGTAACGCCTAGGAAGCTCACTCATTTACCGAGGTTCAAGATTTGCTATTTCTTTAAATTGTTAGTCTCTTTTTCAGTGATATGTTTTTTTCAACGAACAAATATTGTTGCAAAATTGTTTCAGTTGGGGTCTGAGGCCGATAACGGAGGATTTTCTAGTGACCGTGGTTGAGGAAGCACACTGTCTTGTTACAGTATTGTATCGTATGATCAGTGCTATGCTACCGAAGCATCTTCTGGCACTGTTTGAGGAGAAGTGTCTGAAAGCACTGATACCTAATGCAAATCGCCCACCACCGGCAGTATTTCAAGCCAACGGCGCGACGCCATTTAGATCATTAAGAAGAGGAGTTATAACACCGATTGTCAACAGCATCATTGTTCCAAATGCTTCTTCACCGCGACATGTAAGCGATGCTTCAACGCAGACATTTTCCACAGGCGAAATCAATGTTCTTAACGTGTACTATGATAACTAATTTCTTTACACAATAATTTGTAGTGATTAATCAATTGATCAGTTAATTGAAATAATGGAATGCTGATCTTGCTGTGTAACATTGCTGAAACCTGTGGTATGTTGGTACCTGCGACAGTAATACCACAGAACTCTGTTTCTCGTGGTATTCCTTTATATATTGTTTTTATTGGAGCTCATGTTTTCCAGTGGCTTTTTTTTTGCTAACTTATGTCTACCTGGTGTTAGGTATTCTTATCATGCATTACTCATTACATCGTGTTCTATCCTTCTTCATATGCGTTCTTATCACTTTCTTTTTCGCGTTTTCTTGAATTCCAGTTGAAGTAGTCCACTCCTTTGCCTACATAAATTAGGAAGTTATAAAATAAAGGATATATAAAGCAGGTTTTCCGCACTCTTCCATTTCTTATAAGCGATCAGAAATGGATAATGCCAAGTTTACGAAATTATCATCCATACCACTCTATTTTCGACTTTCTCAACCTTTTTGTCCAAACGCAAGTTCCAAGTTTGTTCTTCCAACTTGGAGAGAAACTCTTTTATCTTAAAATTATCTTTAGCATATGAATTGAACATGCTGGTCATTCTTGATTTTGTAGATATTGCTACATCATGTTATTTCCCTATTTTTCTAATTTGATTAATGCATGAAAATGGTTTTCCTTGGTGTTTGTTACACAGTGCATTTATGGGTTATATTTTAATAATGTAAGTTAGATTTTTTTAATGCTGTAAGAGGAAAGCATCATTCGTTGATGTGGTTTGATTAACCCTGATTGAAAATTACTCACGGTTTTCGAACTTTCGCGCAAAGGCTTTTCAGAGATCATTTGTATTAACCATACAGTATTATTAATCTCAAAATCTTTAAATAAGCATATTACCTAGTACTTGTGAAGGAATTTTATTCTACGTTTACTGTTTGCCCGCTTGTTAGGTAAATTCTAAAGTGACAGGAAATATGTCATGGCATTAAGTTATAATTAATAAGAGGACTAGAAAGGACGGTTAAAAATACAGGTCGAAAATGAAAGTCATGGCACATTCCGGTAAGGGAGAGGGAGTGGTTGGATATGGATAATAACTGTGTCAACATCGCGGTATGTTATAATAGGTGCTTTTAAAATTTTAACTTCATTCAGTGGTCATTGATCCATGGGTTGCTCTCGATGAAATGGAGGAGCTATCAGTATGGGATCGGAACCTTCGTCTTAGCAGTACTTTGTTCCGCTGTTGTTTACGCCGTGCCACCTGCATTGGTCGTCTATATACCAAATAGTAACAAATTTCGCACACTAATTCAACAATTTCCATCACTGTAAAATAAATTTTCGATTTAATCTCCTGCTAATGATAAGAACTCTGCTTATACAAATAGGAATTTCATCGCTCACTGGTTATAATTGAAAAGCCAATCCAGAGACCGATATTACCGCCAAAATCGGAGAACAAATTCACAATCTGAAACCAATGTTTAGTCTTCACATTAGTTTTTTTAAAGCTATGGTGAAAAAACTTTTCACTGTTGTTGAATGATTCTTACCAAGCGTTATTCCGCAATGGTGGCTTGCGGTACCAATAATGTTAAGCTAATGGAATTTAAAAAAACAGCCAAAAAAGTTTAACTCGTACATAACGCATGATCTAAAAGGTTGAGAACATTTATGAGTTAGTATTACTGGTGCAAATTTTGTTAGTTGCGTATTTTTTGTTTTTACAGTAGTACATGAAATATTATTAAACATTCAAAAGCAAGAAAGGCAGATTTTGCAACGAACCGAGTATCCAGCCGTTTCGCGAAGTGTTTCAAAGTTGAGCTGCTCGTAGTAAATTTCAATGTATGCTGTATTTTTTCTGAATTAATATATTTTTTTATAAATTTTCAAAAACTTGCCTGGAAGACAGCAACCAATGAGAAAAATGGATGAGAAAACAGGTTGAATGGACCTATAGTATTCGGTACAAGCTCTGGAATCGTTTGCAATGTCGATAACAGCTGGACATTCTACACCAATAATGAAATTTTTCGCTGGCCATGCAGCTGCAGAATATGCAGTTTCAAAAACGTTTTCGCTACAGGGTTGCACACATTCACAGTTTTGCTGTATATGATGAAAACCACCAGAATGTTGAGTAAAGTTACGCAGACAGCTACCTGAAGTTTGTGGAGGTTTTATAAAATATGCAAAAGGAACGTGCACGTATTGGTTAACATGAACCATATTTCGATGTAGCGGTACTTTATCTATAACCATCTTACTGGCACAATAATTTCGTGCGCCTACAGATTACATGCTGTTGCTACAACATCAAGTTTACTGATTTTTGTGCAAAAATCTGACGTCGAATAGAAATGTTTCCTAAAATACTATGTCTACTCACGTTCAGTAGCATTTTTAACGTTGCATGGATGATATTCACCAGAAGGTAGAGGAAATCGTGGATCTCCACAACCACATCTCTCTAATACTGTGTGTTGGAAGCAGTTACGATAACAACCCTGAAATGAACAATTCATATCAGTTGAATTAGTGCACTGTTTAATAATTTGCAGCATAAAATACTAAAAAGATGAGGTTATCTGACTAATGTAACGCGACCTCCGGTGAATAACGTTCCGCATAAATATAACCAGTAGGCCTGAACGTATCACTGCACATCCCATAGGGTGCATCCAAGCGATGTAATACCTTCTGAAACACATCGGATATAGTGGCCTTCATAAGATGATTCGATAATTACCATCTTCACGAGAATGTAACACTAACTGTTTTCAGACCAAATGATGAGATAACTCCAGTTGGTGCACTGTATCCAAATGTATCTGGAAAGGGTTCTTGATCCTGAAAGAATTCGAATGTTTTATTATTGTGCAATGTTTCTAGTACGATATCTCCAATCACGAGACCTGTTCATGCACAACCAGTCGAACACCAGCTGCTTCGGTTGTTGGCAAATAATCACTCTGATTTATATTTAGCAATAGACGCAGTCCATACATCGGTCCTAAAAATAAAATGCCAAGTTCATCAACTTACCTGCTCTATGTATATGTTGGAGAATTTTGCGTGTATAAATCATCGACAACCATATTTTCTGTACTACTTATTTTATCATTTTTTTTTTTTTTTTTTTTGATTTTATAACAATCATAATGCAGTGGCATCGAAGGTCAGGTGGATGACCTCTAATAATATTCCTACTGTACTAATAAACTGAGAAATTATTTAAACTAACTCTTAAAGCAACGATACTAACCAGCACGATTATTTTTAAGTTCAACGGAATCATTGAAATTGAATGTATAGCAATTACCGTATTCAGGATCCATATGTAACTTGAAATCTCTGAAGAAACGATATATATAAATTTATTTTTCAAAATCATTATGCTACAAATTTTTATATAAGACCCAAAAACTTCTGCTTAAAAAAACTTATGTTCATTTTTAATTTTGTGTTCAAAAAACCTTTCGAGGTTGCAATCTTCACTGTTGAATGAACAACGAAGTACAAATTCTTCAAGTGTGTAGGATAAGTTCCGACGTGTTTCAAATGATAATGCAGCAACCATAAATATTAAGTTCTCTTTCGCCTTTGCTGTCATAGCAGCTGGGTCTTGTCTCTCCTTCAAATATATTATTTTTCAAAATCTATAAAATGTTCATCGATTTCGTCAAATTGAAAAAAAATCTATTACACCTTAGTGATCTACGGCGACATATTGTGCATCGGCATCTCAAGATTTAAAGGTTTATAAATGAACCATTCGATTATTCCATTCAACTAGTTAAGATATCGGTGTCTCAGATCAACTCGTTTTTGTTGACAGTTGTGAATGTGGACGTTATGTATATGAAGAGAATAAATAAATGCAAAAACACAAGTCCTAAGTAAAACAAACAGTCAAGCCAAAAGCTTCAGCAAGTTCCAAAGAAGTTGTGGGTGATCGAGTAATTGATAAGATGGCGTAATTATTCGGCTTCCACCAACGGATATCATCTTTTGGCATGATGACGCAGTTATTAGAAACAAATTGACACAAACACTTGTGGCCATTAGTTGATGATCGTAAATTGGTGAAACTTGATCGATCTGGATCATCACATGTCTTCGACAGTGAGCAATCAAAACATTGCTAAAGTACATGAGATTATTTTTGAGTACATCCAATTTTTGAGGAAATTATGAGATGCTCTTAGAAAACGCACATCACCTTTTCTGTCCACGTGACTGTAGGATAACATGGCCAGATATTACCACTATTTATATCTTCGAAACATATGCACACGGTTGCATTTCCCTGTAATTATAGATATTGCTGGTAACATGATTATTCAGAATTGAAACCATTTCTTTGTAATATTTTACAACCTGATCTATTCCTAAATAAAATTGAGAATTTCTTGCTTTTTACCAAAGAAAATTGCTAAGTGGAAAGAGAATGGAATGTTAAAATTCTCACCAGTAAAGGATTCCGCTCAGGAATGCAGTGATCATACGACTGCATACAATTACATCGAACAAAAACAGGAGCATAACTAACTTCACGTGTTTTTCGCATCGAATTGTTTGCATAAGACGTTTTTGAACCTTTATAACGATTAATTTTCTCTTCCCAAACATCTAGCTGCAATGTACAAATTTTTGAAAACTCACATTGAATATTTGTTTAAGAAATATATATATATATATATATATATATATAAGGTATACTATATATGAGCTCACCCCTTCAGAAATTGCTTCATACTTTCTCAACTCGCTGTTTTTGAAGGCATTTAAATTGCATAAAGTTGCTGCAGGAAACGGCGCTGAAAATATATCTGATGTAAGTGATAGTGCTGACATGATCCTTTTCGCTGTAATTTTGTACCATCGTGCCAGTGTTCCCCATATATGTGTAGAACAGTTCATTGATTGTCGTTAAATACAAAGTCTGGGAGCAATCTATCCCTTACATCACAACTGTCTTGGGAAATGAATGTAGAAAGGGATA